GCGCGCGCCCGGCACGCGCCCCACCCGCCGCCGCGCCGGCCGCCGCGCGCGCACGCTACTTATCGACGGGGGTGCGCGCCACCTCCGCCAATCCACCGGCAACCTCCGCGGCACGCACACGTGCGCTCTCGATCTGCTCCCGATACGACAAGTTTACTTACGCGATGCCCATGGCGGCGATTCACGCTTACCAAAATCTCGGTGTAAATCAGAAGCTGACGCAGCTTCAGTCTCCTGCGCCTAGGAGACTAGCACCTGCTCCTGTTGATCCTGGTCGGTGCAAGAAGAGGTCCTACCTTCACCAGCCGTACCCGACCCAGCCGGCTTCCGTGGCGAGAAGGAATGCTCGAGAAAGGAACAGGGTGAAGCAAGTAAATAATGGCTTTGCTGCTCTCCGCCAACACATCCCTTCGGCAGTTACGGCTGCATTGGCGGGTGGAAGAGGATCTTCAAGAAAACTCAGCAAAGTCGACACGTTGAGGCTAGCTGTAGAATACATCAGAAGTTTGAAACGTTTACTCGATGAAAATGACGAGGGATGTACGGAAACACAGCTGAGCCTCGGGATAAATACAACTGGACCTCAAACACCCCCATCGTCAGAAGAATCTCATTCACCGGCACCCTCGCTCTTATCCGAGAGTTCGGCAGGACCCAGCTGTCATGATGCTTATGACTCCTACGAACCTATGAGCCCTGAAGATGAAGAACTCCTTGACGTCATATCATGGTGGCAGCAGCAATGATAAAAGGTAAGCTGACATTTTTATCTTGAAGTTTTAACATAAATCTCAAATATTTTATTAAGATTAACCTTGAAAAGTCGTGAATGAGTGTTGACATAAGTTTCAGAGCTTTGATAATGCTTATCATATTGTTTACATTGTCGCGACGTATTTGTTAGCCCACTTATACATGGTGTACACATATGTATCACTTTTAAAAGTTAACATGGAAGTATTTATGTGTGTAAAGGGAACCTTATTTGAGAAAACATATTTTTAATTCTTAGTTGCAAGCAATATTTTTAGGGATCGTTATTTTTTTCCTTTCGATCCTTTTAGTTACGGTTACCTACTGCACTGACTCTACGCTTTTATGTTGCACAAGTTGAATGAGAACTGCCGATCCTCCATCCTACAGGCAAAAAGTAAACACGTATTCCTTTATGGCCGCGCTTTGAACCGTAGTATAGACTTTATCTCCGCATTGTTAAATTAGGACGGCACAATAGAGTGTCTCCAACAAAGGCGAATCTTGAAATATGTCGCTCCATAAAATATCGCTAGGTAGATGCTTTTTTTACCAGCATAGGTAGATTTTGCAAAGGTTTTATAAAGTAGACGAAACCCGCATTCCACCTTTTTATTTACTTGAATAGCCAAACAGCAATTACATGTAACAATCTTGCGGTTCGCCCCGCATGTAGTGGGAAAATTGCCCATAAAAAGTGGTCTATTCTAATAATACGTGATCATAAGGGATTGCACTAATTTGTTACAAGTGGAAACAGGTTTTGCTTTAGATTTCATATCTTGACTCGCAAGTAAACATGGTGCATCCGGTCAAAAGCTTTTAGCTTAAACAATTCGTCCATATGGTCCATATTTGATGCTACGCGAAACTAGTAGCGACCGTATCTAAAAACTTTAAATTGGGCTTGCAAAAAAAGACCGCTTCGCTGACTATTAATTTATTGTACCGGAAGACGAAATCTCAAGAGGAAATAGAAGGGGACTGAGGCGAAGCACACGTGTTACAATATTTGCTAAGCTCTGAGCAAACATCTGGTGATACCAGTTAGTGTTCATGGGAATAACGCGTCATACGGCAGCCGACAAGTTTTTGATTCCACCTAATCGATTATCAAGGCTCTGATACTTAATACTACGATGGTATGAATCGAAGATATTTAACTTCTTTTAATCTTTTCTCAGGAACCGGTGCATTACGGTGATCAGACTGCGCCTATAGAGCGGCTTAGTGATTGTGAAAAAAGAAGTGCCTCAAGAGGACGCGAATGGAGCGCGTGGGCCTCCGAGAGAACCTCTAATTAACCGCAATCAGTATATTCCTAATGAGAGGGGATAATGGTGGACTATAACGACCCCATCGATGCATTCCGTTGAGCGAACGTCGAATACCCTGAGCATTTTGAGCATCGACGGAATAGCAGCCAAGACTGAAATGACCACTCATTGTTCCATACGTGCATTTAGTATTCGCCTTAAGTCTTAAGTGATCCGAATATCGCTGTGCCTTAGTGTAGCCTTACTTTTCAATGTAGCTTCCTTTAGGGCCTAGTTTTAAGTATTGTTTTATTATTGTTATCTAGTCATTACGTTTAAGTATAGTTTATCTCACTCAATCTTTTAAATGAAAGGATTTTCGTTAATCTGTTACCGTCAGTTGATAAAATACATTATTGTACTTGAAAGTCTACTTGGTAATGTACGAAAATAAGAGAACAATTCGAAACAAAGACTTTTAGTGTATATTGTTAAGTTTAGTACCATAGAAAAGATTCCTAATATTTTAAGATGACGCTATGGAGACGATTTTACGTAAATTTTATTACAGTAAACAAATACCTGGAAAGGTTGGTTCTGTAAATATATCAAAATGGATACATTATTTTATTGTTTTTTTGTTCCTCCAAATTTCCTTAAAGGATTCTAAACATTTCCATACATGAAGAGAGTTACCAAACTTGTGACAAGGAATCGTATTAAGTCAGTCAGAAAAATTCATGTCAGTGTAATAAATAAGAGAAAATCTATACATACACGAAGCTACTACATACAAAAAAAATGTATTGTGTATCTAAGAAACTCAATACATGAAGGACTCTAAACTGACCGACTTAACGCAATGTGGTACTACCTAATGTAACATCGAGATTTATTGTTTCCTTGATTAAAGTCGAGGAAAATCATGAACGAGTTAGTAGATAACGAAGCACTAACAAGGCTGCAGTAAATAAAATTGAATAAACTTCCATATAAATAAATCAGATTTGAAGTAAAATACACTATATCATATTAAAAATCGTAATGACAGCACAGAACCGTAAACAACATGCACCGTAAGTATATGAGAAAAACTAATGCACAAGCGGTTTAGAGTGATTACACATTTGATTACATAAAACGCAAAGATAGAAATCTCAAAACTAATAAGAAAAAAACTCCAATAGACCTTCAGAATGTTCGAGCAAAAGAAGTTGCGCACATACAGGTGAGTTGGACAGAATATTCAGTGCCAAGTCTAGAAAAAAGAAAAGACAAGTCTTGTACGGCATTTTATTTTAAATGAAAGTAAGAAATAATTGATTATAGTCGAGAAATAAGATTGTTATAAGTTGTACTTGTATGTATTTTTGAGGAATGCTTGCTTTATGTCTAGACGTGGTAACCCAAACGATAAAATAAAAAAATAAAAATAAAAATATTGACTTAACTTAATCTAGGTCACATATATCACTGCTACTTCTTTTAAGTATGAAAATATTTGTGTCAGAAGCCACCGCTCCTTCAATCCGGTACAGTTATTACGTACTGATCTTATTTTATGTTGCAAACGATGCATGAAAGGTGCCTCTCCGCACGACGTACTATTCCTTCCTGTACGTCTGGTGCCACTGGGCAACAGCGAGGACCTTGCACCGATTGGCAAAGTCTTTCACCACGATGGCAAGCATTATAGTGTATACCAACGATACGATAAGAAGAAGACCCAGTGGGCGAAGCTTTTTCTTTTTGAATTGCGAATGCTTTGTGGCAATACCTCTCGCTTAGACTCAATTTACATCGCCGTGGAAAGGAATAGAAGTGAATTTCTGTAACGAAATACTACGAGTCATAAAACAGGTTACGCGTCTTCTAGAGAACTCACATGTAGTTTGTAAGTTACACCATTTATATAAATATTAATGCATACACTCAAAACCCCGCACTAGGGAAACCCTGTACCATGGACTCACATATAGACGTACAAACACAAATTACAACGAAACTCACGAGAGAAATAAATGTAGGCTATACAAATATCTCTCCCGTCCCGGGAATCCAAACCCGGACCTCTGCGTGGCAGTTGTATTTATAATAGTAGACGTTCGGCTACGGAGGCAGTTAAAGTTTATTATGTACAATTTCGTAACAAAAACTTGCTTCCATTCCGTTCCGAAGTATTGTAAATTACGCCTTACAGTGTAATTAATTTTACCATGTTAGACTGCCACGCGAACGTCCCGGGGTCGACTTCCGGGCCAGGAGAAATATTTGTATGGCCTACATTTATTTCTCTCGTAAGTTTGGGTGTAATTTGTAGTTGTCTATGTGTGTCCATAGCATTCGCGACACAGGGTTTTCCTAAGGCGGGGATATGGGTGGAAGCGATGTGAGTGTGGGTTATAATTATTGGGCTAGCGTGGCGGACTATGACCTAAACCCTCTCTTAAGAGAAGACACGTGCTCAGCTGTTACACGAATAATGATTCGATGATGATGACGTCAAGCCGTCCCGTGCCTCGCTTTTGTTTCTTCGATTGTACATTACTTTCGCACTGTATTTATTGCCTGTAAGTGCTATAAATACAGTGAGAAAGAAAATGGAAATGCAGTTAAGTGATTTTAATTACATTGCCATAACAGATATTCTTCTACCATATGGGTCACTGTGTCATGACTACGGTAGTCAGATGTCAGGACAACATGACTTAAATTTCATTTTTTTGTTTTGACAATACTGTAGTAAACATGAAGGGAAAATAAAGCGTAAACAGTACGATTATCGCAGAACAATACACTTTAACGATGGACGTTGAAAACCGAGTTGATCACTTGGCGCCATCGTTGTGTTGTGAATCGTGCTGCTTTGAACACTTAAAAATGTCAAAGTGGAATATGACACATTCTGATCGGGTCATTTAGTACACATTGTTGAATGTAACTCAAAACAAATTGTATGTAAACAAGTCAATGTGATAATATGGATTAACAGAACTAATTATCATACATACCTATAAACATAATGGATACTGTATCAATAAACTTAAATCAGTAGACATTGCATATAGAAACTGTAAGTAAAAGTTTTATAGATTCAGGCATTACTTTGCGATAATCCATATTAATAAGAATTGGAATAAATTACTTGGCTACTCCGGAAACCCAGTGAAGATAGATTAGGCAAAATATCTCAGATTGTGTTCATGCAGTTATTTTTCGCGCTATCTATTTGTGTTATTTATAGAGAGATATTGGAATGCAATCAACTGTAGAAATCACACACGAAGTTCATTAATATTAGCATGTTTGCTCGCAGATTGAGTACGATGTAACTAGTTTTACTTACTGTATTCTGGTAAATAAAAAAAAGTACTTTTTTCTATTATTCTATGCAGAATTCCAAGTCCAGCGATTTTGCTTGATCTAATTTTCACAGGGTTCGCGGAGTGGCTAAATAATTTACTTTTGCGTTTTGTATATGTGTAGAAGATATCTGCTCACGTTTTTCGTTCGTTGTTCTCCATTCTTGGTTTTCCTCTCTTTCTTCTTCCTTAGATTATAAGGAGGTCAAGGAGCTGGTTATAAACCATAAGGCGGCCATTGCGCCCGTCACCCTGAAACATAAGTTGATACTGCACGTCCCAGTACATTGTTTTGTAATTTCATAACAACAAGTATCTTTCGGCTGTTATCCAAGGTAAATAAATTTATTTTCAACAGACATTGCTCTTTTTTCACAGTAAAATTAAATAGATGGATATAATTCTTTAACATCTAATGTCAAAGTAAAATAAATGTATCTTTACATGTAGTAACTACTTACTTCAAAAATTGCAAAAACGTGAAAAGTCCTTTTTGCAGCTTTTTCTCAAAACTCTGTTTTTGATATTACAGTGTTTTGGTTTTACATGTTAGTAGAGAGATATTGCTAACAAACATTCGCAAATATACTTAACTTAGGAGTGAAATAAAACTTTTCTCACCACTACCGTTCTAAAGAGTAACTAAACATGTTTAAAATAATTCTAGTATACAAAGCACGTCGACAAAGGAAACGTCGCCAAAATTAAAATCACAAAATGTACTTTTTCTACACGTGCCTGAACTCAGATTACATTTTGCAAAAAGAAAATAATAACACACGCGAACGTACGAAATGGTACCCCTAAACATATGGGTCCTTCAATTTGTAAAAGACAATCTGTTGCAACGCGATCACGTTGTAATCCCGCCCATCGGAATCAAACTGCAATAGTAATTTTTGATAATAGAGGGGAAGCTTCCATTATGGGTTGGTCCCAGTACTTCCTCCGAGTTTATTAATTGTTCTTAAACTTGTTACGTCGAACGGGATTGACTAGAAGCGGCGGAAACGAAAACCACCTGTGGATTCGCGAATCGTTTTGTCGGCCATCATTAATTCCCCTCATATTAATTGTACGTTACTATGTGACTCTACATCCGTTTGCAACAAAATGGCTTCTCATTACCTTGCTTGTCTAGTCGGTTAGTAGTTGAATTTACTGTACTAAGTCTAAATACAATCTTGTTTACTTTTTTAATCACATAATTAGATACATTAAGGTGCTGTTGTATAGAACGGCATGAGTTGGTACCAATGAATATGAATAAATTGTATTCAGAGCGAGTTATTAGGTTTTCGCGATTGTTACACATAGGAAATGAAACTATTTTTCCGGTTTTAAATCGCGTATATTTGTTTTTTTCGAGGCCTTTACAGGTCCCATGATCACGGTTGAATGACTGAAAAATGGTTTCAATTCCTAAATTGTTATTCATTCTTGTTAATCATTTCAATCTCCTGTTACATGTTTCTGATTCGCATTGCGTACACACACACTGAAACAAAAAAATACAAAGTCAACATAAACTACTAGATATCGCAAAAACCGTTGGAAATAAAACAAAAAATTGTGTGTGAAAATCGTAGAGAAAAATACTTAAAAACAAAGCTGCGGCAGCTTTAAACAGTACGTCAACGCAGCCTCGTGCTCTATCGGGACCGCTCGTGCGTTTACGAGGCACGCGACCGGCGATCGGCGCGCGCGCAGCTGCCTCGGGCCTGCGCTGCGGTGACCACTTGTGCAGAACCGATTCGGGGAGGAAAATGTTAATTTCAAAATAAGAACAAGTGTCACATTTTATAGTTGCACCTGTTGATGGTGATAGATCTGTGTCTGTAAAGATGGATAAATATCTAATATGAATAATTTTGTTACCACAGTGACTGCATTTTTCACCTGTTTATGACCAAGTTTGCAAAATATGTCTTTTTTTATTTAAAACAGAAGATAAACTGCCAATGCGTTGCTAGCCTTTTAAATGCTTGTTGACTCACTTTTTGAAGAACCCTATGTCATAGCGCCAAGGGAGGATACTTCAGGAGGGAGACCATTTCACATCTTGCTGGTTTGAAACAAAAATCCCTTGGGCACACCCCGTAATACGAACGGATATCTACTTCAAATGGATTTAGTTAATTCTGCATAACCGTAATAATAATAATAATAATAATCC